AACAGGATCATAACGGCCAAGATAGAAAAAGGCAGTGAGATTCCTGAGTTCATTTTCCACCTGAGCAGGATAAACTTTTCAAAGAATATGACTCACCACAAGGGTAAAGGATGAACAGTTTCAAAGTTAAGGATTAGAAATGAATGAGATGTGGAAAGCTCAGATCTGCCCAAGTCCTAGTGCCCTCAAAAGTTAGATACAGTATGAGTGCTAAAACTGGAATGTTTGCTTCATTCAATAATTAAACAGGGTAGGTATTTTCTCATGCCTTGTTAGCACATTTTGAAAATCTATGATTTTCATAGGACATAGGAATTATGTCATGCAATTTGGGTCCAGATCCATCTTAAAATGGAACCTGTTTTCTTCCATAACACATCTGCTGCAGGGAGTACATATCTCTATCATTTAAATCCCTTATCTGAAAAGACCAGGAAAGATTTGAATTCAGTAAGAGGAAATGACTTCAAAGAAAGCTTTGTAGCTGCTCAAGAAAAAACCACAAGGCACATGAACATGGGAACAACCAGAGCTGGAGAAAGGAGAATAACACACATGATGATTATTAAACAGAGGAAGTTTCCAGATAAGTAAAACCCAAAAGGAAAAAAAGAACCTCAACACTCAGCCATAAGATAGAGTTGAACCAGTCTGAAGAATATCAGGTAACATTTTCTTTTCCTCCTCATTCATTAAGAATCAGGAAGAATAAATCAGAAAACATCACAAATTCCTCATTTGGGGTTCTTTTTTTTTTTGCATTATGAGTTAATTTGCTTTAAACACCAAGGGTCAGACAGTGGAGGCAGAGGAGAGGTGTAAAAGGACTAGACTGATTATTTGCAGGGATTTTTTGAAGTGACTTTAGCAGTGACCCTGCTAAAGGTGAGTGTTGCTTTGGGAACAATAGAGAAGTCCCACATTCACTCACAGTCAGTAACAGCTCTGGGTAGCCAGAGCAGTTCACTGCTCATCACTTAGCTCTCTTGAAGGGTTTATCTCAAGTAGTGACCCGTGCAAGAACTGCAGATGACCTTGCCTACAATGGAATTTCACCTCGTGCATGCAAATTAATGCAGTCAGAAACACCCTCACCTCTTTCCTGCTGCGGTAAACCCCTCAACAGTTATCCTCAACTCCTCCCCACAGCAAGGTCTTAAAGACAGATGCTTGCAATTACAGGGAGCATTCTCACAGGAGGTTCCCAGCATACCACACGTTGCAGAGGCTTTCCCCAGTTGCCAAAGAGGGCAGGGCTGCCAAGGATTGGAAGAAGGAGGCTTCATTTATGAGCTAGTTTTAGGTCATTCTTGGTCCACATAAAAATTTGCTTGGCACAAGTCCCTGCTATAAGGAATGTGAAAAACTAAGATGCCAGGGCAGTGAGCAGGATGGGGAATAAATCATCTGAGTCAGAGGATACTGAACACCACCAACAGCCTGTTTCCTGGTTTTCGCAATGAGGTGGTAGTTGGATGCAAGCGTGGCACATAATGGTCATTGTATGTTGTCCATGAACCAGCAAGGTAAAGAAAAATAGGGCCTGAGAGAGTCTGTGCAAACAGATCTCATGCAGAAGAAGAAGTGAGAAGGGAGGAAGGGGTAGGAAAGCCTACTGGAAAAATGGGATCAAAGCACAAAATACACAAAAGCAGCCCCACATTGCCCCGTTGCCTGAAGGAACAGAGACCTTCAGTACTGCTGGCCACAAACATTTGATGGTGTGAAAACCATCAGGTTAGTTTCTGTGTGCATGGGAGGGGAGCAGCTAAGGATGTGGGATTCTTGTTGGCTTGGAGGCCAAACTTCTCCATCAGCTATGAACAGAGGATGCTTCTCAGTGAGACTGATTTCTCAGAGATGGGACTATTACAATAAATTAATAATCTAAAAATACCTTTGGTAACACTATGGGAGAATTGAAACATGCTTTTATTGCCAAGAGAGAACTGTGAATATTCACACCTACAGAGAATAAACACACAGAGCCAATCTACAAACAAATCATACAGCTTTCACCTGGAAAATTTTTTCTTCATCCTGTCTTAGCAGGATGTCACAGTCCAGCAGTTTTCATGCACACATGCATTTTGCCTGCTCTGAAGATCACGTACATCCATACATTCAGCTCCAAAGAGCTGAGAATGGCCAAGATTTCTTTACAAGTCTCAGCCAACACATAAACCTGTCCATTACCATTCCTGTCATGGACTCCATCCCTTTCTCACCCTCCCCCTGCCATCCCAGGTAGGGAACTTGCAGAGACTGGAATCAGCCTTCTGAAGGTGAAAAAACAGAAAAAAAGCTGTGCAGGATCTTTTACAAGCCTGCTCAATACCATTCTGCCATCAATCCAGTCTTCTCTTTCCTCTTTAGCTCAGTTTTTAAAAAGCTGGGATTTTCTGGTTGCATTGTGGCATGTTTGGCGTTTCTGCATAGATCCCCCATTGCCTGGATCACTTGTTCACAGCTGTGGGTTTTTTTGAGCACAAATCATAAACTGCAAGTGGGTTTTTTTGAGCACAAATCATAAAGTGCAGTGGGAGGAAAAGGCTTAAGAAACAGAAAGCAAATTTGAAGATCTCAGCCTTAATTGACTTAAGCTGCCATTTATGTAGTAGGTCAATGGTATCATTTGCAACTGGTTGGAGCAGTCAATACTGCAATAGTCTGTTTAAAGTAGTCTTAATTTCTCTTCTCCAGCAAAATCCTGCAGCATTTTCCTGTGTATTGAGTGCAGTGCTATAACCACACCACATTTAGATGTAGCAGAAAGGAACATACCTCTGGGTCTGAAGCAAAGGACCAGAGGAGAAAAATAATTGAACTTGCCTGCTCCTGTGGTCCTACAGTTTTTTCCAGTCTGTATCTCCAGCCACATCAATATGCAGAAAGCCTTACTAGTCTCTAGAAGGTGCCATAGGCAGTTGTTTCACCCATTTGCAGTGCTACTTGAGCTTCAGAAATAACTTGAGCAAGAGGCCCTTATGCAGGAGTGCAGCTATCCATACCAGCTGCCGTGACTTAGGAGTTACTGGATGGGTTTGGAGAAGCAAGGACAGAGGCTGTGTACCTGCATCGTCCTTCCTCCCCCGTTTCTCTCCTCTCTGCTGTTGCAGTGGGCAGGGATTTGCAGATTTGGCAAGTAGTAGAGAACCCGAGATGCTGGTTCTCTTCAGATTTCTTTACATTTAGGTATTACTGTAGCATTCAGCAGCATAGATAGAAAAAAACCCAACTCTACCATCAAACTTCTCCCTTCCCCCCTTCAAAAACAAACCCCAACCACTGACATACATGTTCTGCATGGTCTATCCATGCCTCAAATCTCACAAAAAAAGTGCTGAGGAGTAATTTCCTGATGGAATTTCTGAGAGTCCAGGGTCTCCAAGACAGTCACCACCCCGCTGAACCAGGGGAGTGACTGAGCCATGTGGATTTTCAGTTCTGAAGGCACACACATATGGAAAACTCCATCTGTGTTGCACAGACCCATTTCTTCCTCAAGCTTATATTTATACATTAAATATCTTATATTTATCTCCTTCTCTTCCTCAGCACTCTAGCAAAGTACTATTCAGCTACAGAGTTTCTGTAGCACCATGCAGCATAGTGCTTTGCAGCTTGATCTGCAGAACAGGGTACAGGATGTTACAGCCTGCCTTTGGCCTGCCTAAGATGTCCCAGATACAGACACATTTCCCCTTCCCAAACACAAAATCTTGACCAAGAGAAAAAATTCACTTTTCACTTCTTTTTAATGAGTATTTTGGTGAATATACAAAAACAAAGAATCAAGGCAGCTGGCAAGTATCAGGACCTGAAGCAGTACACTTGTAGAAGAGGCTTCATCTTACAATGCTGTATGCAGGAGCATATTTCCCATGATACATGTAACTACTGAAGTGTTCACTAGGAAAGACACCAGATCAGTCTGGGCCAAAGTAGACAGCCTCTATTAAACTGAGTGAGAACTGTAAGTGTTGATGCAAGGACTGGATTTGGTTCAGTTCGTTCCTTGCTTGCATTTTTTTACAAGAGTTACTCATTGCCATCATTTGCCTTTTGTCCTACCTGATCCAGGGATGTAGAAAGGGAATTACACAGGGGATGTGACCATATACATACAGGTAGCTGAAGCAAGAAGCACCATAAACTAGGAGTGTGGGACAGCCACTTTTGCTAAGCCAACCACAGCCCAGGACCTTTTGTATTCTGCACAAGTTCTAGCCCATAGATGTGTGGAGTACACAACAACTTTTTGAAGGTATTACTTGTTAGCAAGTGGAGCTTTTCCTGGACTGGCACTTCTGAGGATAGGAGCACATGCAGTGGTTTCATCAGTGACAGGAGGTAGGCTTGCATATAGGCAGCATATTGCTGAGAAGTGATCTAGCCTTTTATTGGGCTCGACTAGCAGCAGACTTTTTATCTGTGATATGTCTTTACTGCTGACACACTGAAACTCTCAGAGAATCTGTTTTATTCTAAGGCAAGGGGTGACAGAGACCAGGAAGATAAGTTGAACAATAAAATGTATTAGAGAGGTCTGCAGTCTTCTCCCTTGCAGCATCCATCTTTATTGGTCACAGGAGGTTACAGTTTTGCTCACATAGCTCTTGCTGGAGCCTTTAGCATTATAATTTAAATCCAATCTAATTTTAGAGAGACATTTTTCTGGAGCAAGTGTATATACATTTTCTTTTCTGATGTCATCAGAGAACAAATGAGATCACTTCTTATCTTATGCTCCAAGGATTTCTTGCATAGTCAGAGGATTGTGTCTCAGCCAGGGGCTGCAGGACAAGTGGCAAAGCAGGGACAAGATTCTTTCCTGCAGTCATCAGTTCTGTGTGTCAAGTTTTTGGAGGGGCAAAAGTATATATGGGAGAGGTAGTGGGAAAACTTCAAATCCTCCATGGAACGAGGAGAATGGAGCAGGAGACAAACAAATGCAGTTTCACATGGTGTTTCAGGACAGTGCTGAGGACATCAGGCCTTCAGTATTCAATTCCCCTCCAGTAGAACATGGTACCAAGAAGCACGCAGAACTGAAACGACAAGGTGTTTAAGTTTCTCTGCTCCCCATTTCCTTGTCTCCACCTCTCCCCCAGCCCCATTTAGTCCTGCTGTAGGAGAGAGCAACAGAAATTCTTGAAAAGCAAAGTCTATTCAGGCAGAGGAAGCTTAAAGTGTTTTTATCTTCACAGAAACTACACAGTGAAGAAAGAAGATATGTGCAGCCACAACTATTTGACAGGATCACTCAGCTCACTGGGGATTATCTGTCATGAAGCTACTGAATCCTGAATACTTAAAACACTCATACAAAATATTCAAACCACAAACTGAATTATCTATCATGATTCCGGTTTAGATGATCCAATACCCTTCACAAAGAAGTATCTGCAAGCTGTGTTTGCTGTGTTGTATTGCTGAGATGGCAACAGGCCACAGTGGTCTGGAAGGCCATCTAGTTCCTCACCTCTGGAAGCCAGAATGGAGGGGAACTTGTAAGTGTAGTCCTGTTAGTGGAACAGGCTAGGGGCAGATTGGTGACAAATGAATAACCATAATCTATGGACATTTTAAATGCGTCAGTCCTGTCATCCATCTCCACCCAACTGGGTGTGGAATAGCAAGAAAAGAGAAGAGGAAATAAAGGCAGATATTAAGTACTTACAGTCCAGCAGAGAATGGCAAAACCAAACCAGGCAACACCCCAGGCATGTGTGTTCACTGGCCCAGAAATAGCATCGTAACAACCCTGTAAAACAACCAGGAATGAATCAACACCAGTTTTGAGCAACAAGCTTATCCACCTCTGAGAGAGACTGAGGTGGCATGCTCCTCTTCTATTGCAATTTGAGTAGGTCATAGTGTCTCAAAAAACCAAGCCAGAGCTACACTGCTTAACGACAACTTGCAGATTGACAACCTACCTGTTTCTAGCTCCAAATACAAACTAGTCCCATCTCAGACACTTCAAGGACAACTTCCTGTGCCATCCACTTGCCAAGTATACTTAGATAACCAAACACACTTGACACAGAGTTGACCGCCAGAATCAAGAAGCTGCAGGCAAATTTGGAAGCTTGAACACCTTCTAGAAATGCCTAGCAGTGCAGAAGCTGATGCTCATGACCCAGCAATCTATTTGAATAGGACACGCTGGTCTACTGAAAAGTTCTGCCTTGAGAACTGCTGATTTGCTCACTCACATTGTGTGCACTCATCTTTGGGCTAAGTTTAATTTAGCTACTGTCCATTTACATGTTAGAGATGTCGCTTCTTACTGGTGACATTGGGAAAGTTTTCTTAATTGTTCTCTCTCCATCAGGAAAGTCTTTATCCTAAAAAAAATCTCTATCCTGTGTTCAGCAACATGGCCAGGACTCTACAGGCATTACTTCTCCAGGAAGTTTTTGAACACCTGTAGCTTACAGTGGAAAAGGAAGGCTGTTCATGGTTTCTTTCCCTTCCAGCAAGGCACTTTTGACTGGAAAAAGCAGAGAGGATCTTACATTGCTGTTAAAGTAGCCAAGGACTCCAAGTTTGCAGCCATCAAGGTTGACGGGAGACCCTTCGTCATCCATGACACAGCATTTTCGTGGCCAAGGGTAGTCGGCATCGTCGTATCTGGCGCGGAAGGCAGATGTGTAGTCCTGCCAGTCGGAGGGACCCAGCACCCCGCAGCAATGGCTCTGTAGGGTGAGAGAAAGGAATGGTCTTTATGGGCCCAGGTCACAGCCCTGCACATATCTGGACACTGCACATGGTTAGGCATTAACCAGAGATTTATGGGAGAGATTTTTGAAGTGCCTGCCTTTGACAGTGCAGCATCTGATAAACGAGCAAAGTGGGGAGTGTGTCAGAACTTTCTTTAAGGTTCAAGGCTGATGCCATCCTCTTTATTACTGAGCAGCCCCAAGGAGGACTTGAAATTCCAGGCCTGCAGAGCATTTAGTAATAAGTGACTTTTCAGTGTTATTATTACCTGAACCATGAGTTTATCCCATGCCTTTGTAACCCCTTCAATCATCTCTTTTTCGTCGTTATTGGCAGCGTTTAACTTCTGATATTTCTCCAGCATTTGCTTCAGCAAGAGATTTTTAGTGAGCTACAGAAAAAAAAATAGAGAAGAATGCATGAGCTATGTAAATAAGTGGCCATGCAAAGCAAATATAGGGTTTCTTGGGGAGGGTTTGTTTGCTTGTTTCAGTGTCCTGCTGGAGAACAGGAATGCTGCATCTCCCCTGAATTCACACACGAGAATAAAGAGCAGGATTTGAGGAGCAGGAGAAACAAAGATGTAGATCTTAAGCAGGCACTACCAGATATCAGATAACAGGAGATGTGCAGAATCTATGGGTTATGTTTGATATGTAGCTTGGCACTAAAGCACCACAAATCATTTTCCTCCCCACCAATATCTCTAATAACCCATGTAATCTTTCCCTCAGTAGTAAGACTGCCTGGGGCAATGCTGAAGATTTGTCTTCTGTGTGCACGATAGATTAATCAGTCTGTAGTTTGAAAAGTAAACACTGCATTGATGATTCAGCTAACCCAGGCTATTATTTCCTTAGCTACAAGTCTGTAAACATTTTAAAATGTTCAAAATTCCAAAACTATGTAGAAAGAACAAAGTTATTTCTTTGATTAGAATAATGATATTGGAGTTTTTCCTTATGGGATTGTCCTCTGCTCAGCAGTAGTCCTGTGAGTTTACACTGTACTACCACACAGGCCACTTACTACAGCGAACAGAATGACTGTGTGCCCTACAACTGCGTTTCCCAGCATGGCTGAAATAATACATGAGGAAAGAAATACTCACAGAATCTCGGTGAGTAGCTGCTGTGATGCAAGAAGCCATTTCAAATGCAAAAGTGATCAGCATCAGAACAATGTACTGTGGAGACAGAGAGCAGAGTTAGTTATTGGAGAAACAGTTAAGCGTTTTTTTCAAGATTAATCCTGAAACCCTGCTCAAGACAAAGCAGACCAAGCTATCATAGTCCCCTCAGTCCTCTCCATGCTCCTGAATCTTCGTGTAGCCCTTCCCTCTACTTGTTCCAATTTTCAATGTGCTTTCTTGAAGGTGGATGACTGGAATTGTTCTACAGACAAGATTAAGTCAGAACCTCATGGTATTAAGACAACCCTGCCTCAATGGGAAATACTTTGCCTGATATGTCCTAGAATAACATTTGCCCCTTTCTTTGTTGCATCTCATTGGCAACTTCATCATGTCATGTCTCCTCCTTCCACATCCACTTTTCAGCTATAACCTTTTCAGCAAGAAGCTGTTCACTCCTAGCAGGAGAACTTGTACTTTGGGAAAACAGAAGGTGCAATTTAGGGTGTTGTTCAGATACTCCTGATTTTTCATCATCAGATTTCCTTAATACTCCTACATTGTAAGCAAAGATCCTTTATGAAAACAGATTCCAAGGGTCGCCTCTCATAGTCTATTTCACTCTTTCTTTTCCCTCTTCAGCACAATCCCTTTAACATTTTCCATATTCTCTTTGGAGTTCCCGTGTGTCTATTTCTCCTCCCATATTTTATAATGTTCTTCTCTGATTCAAGGCATTTGTTTCCTTCTTAACCTAGCTTCTACCCCTTGTAGTCTCTCATATCTCCTACAACAGAGCCTTGAGTTTCAGCCAAGGCACCAAAATTCATGGTTAAGGGAATTCTATTTCCTCAGCTGTTTGATGGCAAATTTCCTGGCACAAGAGTTCAGATCTCTGAGTGTCCCTTGTTTAAAACAGACACCCTGCTACCCCACATTAACCCAAGAGAGACCTGATTCGAGAGTTTTCAGCTCTAACCTTTATTAATGCAAGCACTAATTAACTTTTGTTACTGCCAAACTAAAGAACTAAGACATTGTACTGAAACGTATTCACATCTTAGCATTGTCCTTGGCTTACCCAAAGCTCTGTCCCCACCCCTGTAATTTCTGCCTGCCTGCTGATGTTTAATGTTCTCAATTGCACCCATATTTGGTATACTGACACTTACTAATGCCTTGTACAGAAGTCATTACTTATCAGCTCCAAAACTGAATGGCGTATGACAGCTGAAAAGCAGTAAGGGGTGGGGAGAAACAAGGATCTAAACCACAGCCCAGCTGCATCTGATTGCACAAGTGCTTCTGCATTGCTTCAGGGCAAGGCCAGGGTCAAGCCAGTTGGTTTAAACCTCCACTGTGGCTATTGCCATAAATTTCCTCAGCCTGGTTCGGGAGCTTCTCCTGCATGTATCTTCACAGAAGTTGCCTTCTGGGACACCACAACCATGCTCAAGAAGAAGCTTTGTCTCCTTATCACTTTAAAAGCTGGTTTTGCTCATTGGTTGGTTACCAAGGTGGCCAGGGAGACTAAGGCAGCATCTATTCAGTTTGGCAGAAATAGGTGGGCAAACTTTGCTACACTTACCACTAGCAGCAAGGTCCTGTTGGACTTAATGACTCCAATGATACCAAGGATAGATAGAGCAAAGAGTGCAAAGCCAACAAAGATGCCAATCCAGGCAGCAGCGTAGATGTCATTGTTTTCTGCGGCTTTCAGCAGAGGGTAGGGACCATGGGGATTGGACACAAAGAAGATACACTCTGCTGTCAGGGCAATGCCACACATCTGAAAAGCACAAGTTTGGGAAATCCATTAGATCAAGCTGCCCCAAAGAAACAGGTGTAGATTGCTTTCCTTTCATTCAGCTTCCTGACAAACAGGTACTACTCAACTCCTCCTCTGCCTAACTCTACAACCTCTGGTATTGTGCCTTCATAGAAGAATTGCAGGCAAATCTCACCCAGCCTAGACCTGAGAAGTCAGGCCTATGATTTGAGGATGCTAAGAAAGAATGAACAGAACCATTCCATCACTATATGGAGAGAGGTGGCTGGAAAGATATTGGTCAGCTCCTGCTGACAGTTCTAGGGCTTTTCTGCTAGAACTCATCTTGGTCTTGTGGATCAGCCTTTGTTTTCCCTTTCCCACCCAACAGATCATCTAGGACAGTTCTCCTTTACATCTTCTCTCATGTTTTACTAGAGTATTTATGTGTGGATTTCACACACGAGGAGGGATTTCATGTGTGAGAACTGCTGTTTCTAAGAAGTGTCATACTGGAAGGAAGTCTCCACCCATACTTGTTCCACTTCACTTACCCCAATGACCACATTTCCAAAGACTAATAGACCCTGCAAGATGTGCATGCAATCATCACTTTTTGCCATCCTTAATTCTTCATGCAACCTTGGAAAAAACAAACACAGTCTTCAGTCAGACCACCAGTACAATATGCTTCACTCAGAAATAGAAAGTATCCCTGAGGAGAAGGACAGAAACTGCCAGCCTGTCTGTACACCTCCCACCACTTGCTTCATAGTAGTTTCAGAGGGGAAACTTCCCCAGGCATTAATCTGGTAACTCAAATTATTCCTGATACTTGAGCTACAGAGAGTTCGGATGACTTTGGGAGCAGCTTCTATCTTCAGCTCTCTTTTGGGCAGGGGTTTCATCATCACAACAGCACCCATGCCAACCTCAGTTCATGGTGTTGCATTTCCATCCTGACAGGACCACCAACTACATCTCGATGGACAGGGGACAAGTTCAGTGCCCTGAACTCGCTCCTTTTCCAAAGGAGCCAGCTTTACTCCAGGGTATGCTGTCCACCTTGCTGTGTTTCATTTTGGCTAGCACTACCATGGGACTGACCTGGTAAGGACAGTGCTTTAGCTGTATCCCACACACATACCCATGGTGCAGGGCTTGGCAGCACTTTGCTAAGGGTAGCTTCATCTCCCACCCATGCTGGGAACTGGAGCTGAGCCCCCCATTCCAAGTCAGGTGTGAGGGAGGGAGGGAGCAGCTCAGGCTGCAGCTGGCTTATGGGAGTCAGGCCAAGTAGCATTCCCACCGAATTCCTGAGAGTTCTATATCCTGTAGTCTGGAGTCAGGTGCCCCATATTGAATTCATCCCCTTCCAGAGAGAGCATCATAAACACACTAGTCAGAGGTTTGAAACCTCTTGGAGAAAGAAGCCCAGATGCCAGCTCCTACCAAGTCCTTCTTTCAAGGGGACAGAGCCCATGTGTGTGTGGAGAGGGGGAATGGAAAAACCCCAACCCTGAGCCAGCTGCGTTTGCCAGGTGGTTAAGAAACATAAACCCAGAAAGAATGGCTGAAGTGGGCCCAACTTGAGTAGACAATAGGAAAAGCAGCTTGAACACACTTCTGCCAGAGTACCTGCACTTGTGTCTCTCTTGCTGGGGTTACTGACTCTACGATTCTTCAAAGAAGCTGTTGGAAAATAAGAGCAGACACAGCCATCAGTGAAGGGTAGTTTCTTGAGGAAGAGAGCATTGTGAGACCTCTCTAACAATGCCACCTTTACCCTCCTCAGCAGCTGCCCTTTTTGGGGTAGGCAGGAGTTCCAATAGTGACAGAGGGAAAACAAGAATTTACTACCACCCTTTCTGCAGCAGTTTGAGGGTTAGGCATTGAGACATCTCCAGTGCTTTCACCATTGTACCAGCAGCATTTTCTATTTTCCTATGGTAGCATGAGTAGGGATGAGCATTATTTCCAAGGTGGGAAGCCACTTTTATTGCCAGCCAGGTGTTTAGAGGCCAGACATGAAACTGTTTAATACACTATATAACAAACATGAAACTGTATGGCTCTATATTTGAAACTGGCAGGCTCATGAGGTCAACCTGAAGCTAGATCACTGCCAAACTTCCTGAACAGCCAGCATGTTCAGGGGGCCACATAAAACTGCCTTGCAGGTCAAATATGGGTCTGAACAATGTTTGGCCACATGTTCTACAATACAACACTGCAGAGTCTGCCAAATCCGAGATGGACCCTAGTCCTCTACTCATCTGAAATCTGTAAAGACTATTGCTTGGTTCACAGACCTTTGTGCTGCAAACTCCAGAGATTTTAGAAAAGCCTTTAGTTATTGCCATCTAAAAGATA